TAGGGTTTAGGGTTTAGGGACCTGTTCCTTAAGGGAACCATTATGAAGTCAAAGTCTAGACTTTTTTCTCCATGGTTACTTCAAAGTCTAGAGAACTTACAGCAGGTCTTGGGGGTTTGGGTTTCAGGAGCTTTGGGTTTAGGGTTCGGGAACCCTAAACCCGAAACCCTAAAGTCAAAACCCTAAACCCGAAACCTTAAGCCCTAAATCCTGAACCCTAAACCCTGAACCCTCAACCCCAACCCTAAACCCTAAGCCCTCAACCCAAAACCCTAAATCTTAAATCCTAAACCCTAAACCCTAAACCCTGAACCCTAAACCCTAAACCCTAAACCCTAATTGGTTCAGGAGCTTCGGGCTTCGGGGTCCTCTGAACTCGGCACCCAGGAAGCTGGCGTCCGGGAACCAGGAGGCCGCCGAGGCCGCGGAGAGGGCCCTCAGCAACATCATCAAGTGTATCTTGGTTCAGGGTTTAGGGTTTAGGGTTTAGGGTTTTGGGTTTGGGGGTTTAGGGTTTAGGGGTTTAGGGTTTAGGGTTTAGGGGTTTAGGGTTTAGGGTTTACGGGTCAGGATCAAGTGTATCTTAGAGGAAGCAATATAGGGCCGTTTAGGGGTTTAGGGTTTAGGGGTCTAGGGCTTGGGGATTTTTGGAGTAGACTTGGTTACTATAACCCCTACATCAAGTGTATCTTAGAGGAGAGGAGAGGCGAGGAAGTAAGGGCTTAGGGTTTTGGGGATTTTGGGGATTTGTGGGTTTGGGTACTATAAGCAGTGTATCTTAGAGGAAGTAATATAGGGGGTTTAGGGTTTAGGGTTCGGGGTCCAGGGTTATAGGCGCCTAAATACTTACCTAAACTATTTTTGGGGTTCCTTCTTATAGTTATAGTATAATCTACCCCAGTCTTTAAGTGTATCTTAGAGGAGAGGAGAGGAAGTAAGGGTGAAGGGTTTGGGGTTTTGGGCAGTGTGTCGTAGAGTAGCGCTTACTAAGCTACTAACAATAAGTGTACCTTAGAGGAGAGGAAGTAAGGTTTTGGGGATTTGGGGGGATATGTGGCTTTGGGTATGGGTACTATAACCAGTGTAACTCGGAGTCGTAGAGTAGAGCTTGCCGGGCTCTTTAGGGTACGACGAGAGCGTCGGAACCTTCGAGCAGAAGAAGTAAGGGTTTGGGGGGGGAGGGGGTTTCGGGCTTTTGGGGTTTAGGGTTTGGGGTTTAAGTCTTTGGGGGTATTTTTGTTATCAGTGTAGGTTTCAGTAGAGGAAGCAAGCTCTGGACTTTGTTTTGTTTGTTTTTTTGGTAAGTGTATCTTAGAGTAAAGGAATTAAACTCTAGCTGTTTTGGGCTCCAAATCAGTGCGTCCTCGTAGATGTACAGGAAGTAAGCTCTAAGCTTTTTCGGGGTATTAAAGTCACGGTATCTTGGCAGTAGAGTAAGTAAGCTGTAAGCGCCCTTCGGTTACTAGAACCCCCACAGAATCCCAGATGAACCTTAGTTCCCGTCGGAAACTGGCCAAGCAAGGTATATCAGACATGAAGGCGGCAGATGCGGCCTTTGTGGACTCGGCGTTCAAAGAGCTCCTAAAGCGGGGCAACACCATCGAGATCTCGGAGGAAGGGGTGGCCAAAGCCTCGAACGGTGGGGCGCGGGCGGCCACGGACGCGAACATGGCGCGGCTGAAGCACTGGCTGCTGCGAGTCTCGGGCCACGAGTCGGAGGCCTGGTTGCAGCGGGCCTGCCGTTCCTTGCTCCCGGGTCCTTGTTGGATACACTTTTTTACATTTTGGTGAAAATAAATCCCAGCAAGGATTAATAATGATCATTTTTTTAATATAGCTTCAAAAGTGAACCAGGCTCTCCTCATCGGCAACAACGGACTGGCAAAGGATCAACCCGTTCCTCACAGACAGCGAGGTGAGGGACATCCTGCAGCTGACGGCCCATGCCATGCTCCGCGCCGTGCGAGTGGTCCTGGCCAACGGCTCCTTGGCAGAGGCTCGGGACTTGCAGAAGATGCTCACAAAGGCCATCAGCACCGTAAAAGAGACGGGCAAGCTTCTTGGTTGCAGTCTCAAGCTTCACTGCAACGGCGGTGGGCTGAGGTTCAAAACCCCCAGAGCCCTTGGACCCTACCGCCCCAAACCTAAACCCTAAACCCTAAACCTCTAACCCTAAACCCTAAACCCTAAACCCTAAACCTCTAACCCTCAACCCTAAACCTCTAACCCTAAACCTCTAACCCTCAACCCTAAACCCTACACCCCCGCCTAAAGCCTAACGTCCCAAAACGCCTTAAGCCGCGGAGCCCGAGGCTTCCCAACGACGTCCGCGTGGGCCTCGCCGAGAAGGGCGAGGTCCTGGCGCGCCGAATCGACGCCCGGCGCCACTACGTCTCCGAGACTGGGTTTATCAGTGGTACCCTTTTGCCCTTTTTTGTTTTTTTGGGTGTAGGGTTTAGGGGTTCCCCAGTAGTACCCTTTTGCCCTTTTTTGGTGTCAAAACCAAATAGTAGGGTCTCCGAGTCTAGGTTTATCAGTGGTACCCTTTTGTTTTTTTTTGGTTTTTTGGGTCTCCTCAATACAGCCAAATAGTAGGAAGAAGGGCACCCTTATTCTTAAGGGGTTACTGGAGAACCCTAACCCTAAACCCTAAACCCTAGGAGACGTTGTCCTACGACCCCCACTTCTTGGTCTTTGAGCTCCTCGGCGGCGGAAGAAGAGACTCCCACTTTCGCGCTCTTCTGGGGTGTACCCTGAGCCCTTTAGGGTTTAGGGTTTAGGGTTCCCTAAACCCTAAACCCAAAATCCGAAACCCCTAAATCCGAAACCCGAAGCCACCCCAAGGCCTAAATCCGAAACCCTAAGCCGCCCCCAGATTCTCGGACAACAAGATGCTCCATGGCCGGCAGGTGGGACTTTCCGAAAATTAGGGGACCTCATTTTGGGATACCTTATTAAAAAGGAGCCTAGTAATTAGGGTACCATTTAGGGCTCCTTATTTTGGGGTACCTTATAAGAAGGAACCTATTAGTTAGGGTACTATTTAGGGTCCCCTAAACCCTAAACCCTAAACCCTAAACCCTAAACCCTTAGTTTTGGAAAACCCCAGGTGGCGATCATCTCAGACTTCCAGCGCACCGTGGAGGGCGGTGAGAGCGGCGTGAAGCAGCCCCTGGGTTCGGAGAAGAGCCTGGTTTCGGGTTTCGGGTTTAGGGCTTCGGGTTTCGGGTTTCGGGTTTGGGGTTTCGGGTTTAGGGCTCAGGGTTTCGGGTTTAGGGTTTAGGATTTCGGGTTTAGGGCTTCGGGTTTCGGGTTTAGGGTTTCGGGTTTAGGCTCTAGGGTTTAGGCTCTAGGGTTTAGGGTTTAGGGTTTCGGATTTAGGATTTAGGGTTTCGGGTTTGGGATTTGGGCTTTAGGGTTTAGGGTTTAGGGTGTAGGGTGCTTCAATATGTAGGTTGGAAGAATTTGTGATGATGTCACCTTAGAGTCCCCAAGTAAAATGGTGGTACAACATACCCCAAAACCGTATTCCAATGATGCAGGTTCTAAAGGCCCATGAAGTAAGGTGTAGGAGACCTTCAGCTCTTCACGGAGTCCTGGCATTGCCCTTTACTTCTTCGAGTCAGTAGTAATAATAAGAACAGGTAACATAGTAGTAGTCACAATTATGATAGGATTAGAGTCCCATCTCCTCCGGAGAACTCCGAAGAGAGGGGATCTAGGCATTTTCTGCCCCTTGTGAAGCTGAGAATCCGAGGATGATCATGGGAGCCGGGAAGACGACGGTCGTCAGCCCACTCTTGTCTATGCTCCTTGCCTCGATAGTGCTCTGAGGAAGGATTCTTATGACGAGGTGGTGGAGAAAGAAGGATAGAAGGAGATCGATTCTACACCCCGAGCCCTGAAACTTCAACCTGCACCCCAAAGGGCTTAGATTTGAAGTCCTCCCATCCCCCTTGAAGAACAGGCTTTTGGCCAATGGCAAGCGCCTGGTCAGTCTGGTCGTCCCCTCGGCCTTGCTTGAGTTCTGCCGCGGCGTGCTGATGGCGGTGTTCTCCTCCATCATCCAGATGCCCGGCTCAATAAGGTTTATGGTTCAAGGTTTAATCATCCAGATGCCCGGCCTGACTATAGAAGTCTGAGTAACCACGCTAGTCCTAATCATCGTAGTCCTTATCCTGTTTGATTGTCATGATACTGTAAGTAGAATGCACTTCAAATCATATTCAATTCTTTAAGGCCGCTGCATTACCTTATGTTGATTGTCGGCTATGAAGTCATGTTGTAGCCTAGGATTTACGGCCTTACCTAATCAAGGGGTTTCCATAATTAGTATAGCTCTGTCTAGTACCGATACAGTTCTAGCTAAACCCTAAACCCTAAACCCTAAGCCCTAAATTTACCGCGAAAGGCTTCTGTCATTTTTCGGGCCCTATAGGAACCCGAAGCGCTGACAAAGTCAGTTGGCACTCACTGAATCACCCGTCCGGAGGGCAAGCAAAACCCGAAACTCTAAGCCCTCAACCCTAAACGAAGCATCATTGAAGAGGTGTTGTTTCAGCTCTTTGTTCTTGGATCTGGGGCCCCCGGTTCGCTGGTTTCACTTTATTTTGAGTATATGCTTACACTACCATATGCCCCAAAACACCATCCTAATCATCAAGCCCCGCAGCACTACAGCCCTATCAAATCCCCAAAGCTCGAAGCCTCCCATCGCAGCCAAGGAAGCGAATCTGCATGTTCCACTGCGACCGCTCCGAGGATGTGGACATTGCCATCTGTGACCGGATTGAGGCGGCATCAAGCTGAGAGTGACACCCTAAACCCTAAGCCCTAAACCCCTAAACCCTAAGCCCTGAACCCTGTACCCTAAACCCCTAATATAGGCCCACCAAAGCTGCGGACAGATTCCGTCCGGCTTTAAGAAGGCCCAAGCCTGCAACATAGCAACCGGCTTTGATGGGGTTTAGGGTTTAGGGTTTAGGGTTTAGGGTTATGGGTCTGCAGGATGTGTAGTTCAGAAGTACCCCATCGGCCACAAGTTAACCCATGAAGACATATCGGGGAAATATCGGGAAAATATGTGGGGCAGCCCACAAAGATAGGCAAATATGCAAGCCGATATTGGGAAATATTGGCACTGTAAAAAATATTGGCGCAAATATGCAGACAGGCAAAGAACACACATTGAGAAAATCTGCACCTCCTAGCCCCAAGCTTCTGCCTAAATCCGTTCTCATAAATATAGGGGCCTAAATAATACGTCCTTATTATGATAATAGTAGAATATACCCCAAAACCCTATTTTAATTCTTAAGGCGCCGATATTACAACCAAAGCACCGAATCCTAAAGTCTAAAAACCCAGATGGTAGACTCTTTTCCGGGCGGTTTCTGCGACAAAAGTCCCACGAACTTGACAAGTGGAGGTTAAACTCCTGAAGTGCCGTAGAGCTTGGGTTAAGCGGTGTTGGCACATGATCCCTGAAGCAATCACAGGCCGTTCGGAACGAAGGCCACATTCTTCTAACCAAGCCAACAGACGTCAAGAGCCTGATCTTGCGCTTCGTCGAGAGCCTCGGGCATGCATTCACGGTTTAGGGTTTAGGGTTTAGGGGTTTAGGGTTTAGGGTTTAGGGTTTAGGGTTTAGGGTTTTTATGTACACATGTGTATCTTCCTGCTGTCTCTGCAGGTTTTGGTAGCTACGAGTTTAGTTTAGAGGGCACGCTGTGTATATATCTTGAGGCTGTAGGACGATAGATCTGCATGACATCGTATGTACGTCTATTGATAGTTATGTATGTATGTATGTATGTATGTATGTATGTATGTATGCACTCTTACAGTGGCCTATAGCTCATATACTGGGCAAGCATACACATAGACAAAGCACGCCAAACTTTGGTCTCCTGAGCCTTTAGCCGAAACCCAAAAGCGGCAACCCCTCCACCCCCAAGCCCCACAGCACCAAAGCGCCAACAGCCAGAAAAGCCCTAGACTGTAAGCTCCCTAAACCCTAAGCCTAAACCTTAAAGCCTCAACCAAAACCCTAAGCCCTAAACCCCAAACTCAAGCCCGAAACTCGAAACTGCCGAGCCTCCACCCTGTCAACCTAAAGCACTCAGCTTCTACAAACCTATCAAACTACATCATATGTCCTTCGGGTCCAGGGTTCAGGGCAACTTATATATCCCTAAACGCTAAACCCTGAACCCTAAGCCCTCAAACACTAAATCCTAAACCCTAAACCCTAAACCCCTAAACCCTAAACCCCTAAACCCAAACCCAGGAACCTGGACATCTGCAACGACCGGCGTGCCAAGCGCAACACTGCGGCCCTGCAGAAGGAGACCATTGAGCTCGGCCGAGTATTGGAGGCTTCGGGTTAAGGGTATAGGGGTTTAGGGGTTTAGGGGTCTAGGGTTTAGGGGTTTAGGGTTTAGGGGTTTAGGGTTTAGGGTCTAGGGTTTAGGCTTTAGGGTATTGGGGGCCGTTTACGTATTATCGCTTTCATTATACTATTACGAGTATTATTAAGGTTTGTTATCGTTCTATTATTAAGAGTATCATGGCTATACTATTACTTGCTACCACCTCCTATTGCTACTACTACAACAACAGCTACAACTACAACTACAACAAGGCAACAACAACTACTACTACGACTGCGACTACGACGACGACGACTACTACTGTTATGATTATGGTTGTTTTTATTGATGCTAATTAGACTCATTATTGTTATTGTGGTTGTTATTAGACTATCATCGCGGTAAGTATTGTTTGATAACGGCTTTTAATGCGGGGTGTGTAGGGTTTGCGAAGGTCTGGGGCTTTGGGTTAAGGGCCATGTAAGGAGAAAGGGCTGAATGGGGCCTAACAGGGGCTTGTGAGAGTGCATTGTGAGTTTGTCTAGACGCATGACTGTCCTATCCAAGGAGTTTCCCGGCAACTAAAGAATAAAGATATGGATACCCTGGACTATCCTGTTGGTAGCTTGCTTTAAGTTGACTTACTTTCTCGATGGTGATGGCCAGGACTATGATTATGACTATCGGATAATCGTTGCAGATTGTTAAGTGCTCACTGTTCTTCTCATCGCAGTGTTTTTTTATTGACTATCTAGTGACTATTTCAACGTTTGCCCTGGCTCTTTTCCGTATTAATTAGGGTGATGCAGGTGCTTCCGAAAGGTTCAAGGTTTCGAAGTTTGAGGCTTCAGTAGTATGGTAATTACTCCCTATAGCACCCAGCATAGAAGAAGCTGCACACATCTTAATGAGACTCTATTGGGGATGCAACCGTGACCCTCATTTCTCTTACGCCTTAAGCCCCAAGCATCACCAAGCCATAAGCCCTGCATTTACATCCTGAATCCTAAGCCCTTACAGCTTCGGTCTTGAGCATGTATACTATACATATACATGTACATAGACACAGGCAGGCAGGCAGGCATGCAGGCAGGCAGGCAGGCAGGCAGGCGGGCAGGCAGCAGATAGACACATGTATGTGTGTATGTATGTATGTATGCATGCATGCATGCATGCATGCATGCATGTATGTATGTATGCATGTATGTATGTATAAGCATCTCGGCTGAAATGACTGGAAGGGCCTGGAGGGCCTTTCCTCGCCTCGCCCCTTGGGGCCTCCTTATCTTGATTTTTCGGTGGTTGATTTCCCGGTTGCCTTCGGGGCTCTGGGGGCTGGAGCTGTCGTCAGAACTGCATAGCAAGGGTTATAGGACTTCGGAGGCCCCAATAACCCGACACCGGCCATGGCTCCCCTGGATTCGGAAATCCACGGATGGAACAAAATACCTCGCAACTTCTGGGAGCCCGCGCCGCTTGAAGACTATGTCAGACGTACGGTGGAGCAGCGGATCTACCTTTCAGGTTGGCACCTGCAGTCGCCACGACTGCAACTGGCCTTCAGGCTCCGCTGCGACAGGCTCTGGAACAACGCCTCAGCCTTTGTCATCTTGTACCAGAGCTGGGTTCTTCTTCGGGATGAAGATCGGTGTGCTGTTTTTACTGCTATTCTCGGCTTTGATGCTGTGTTTGGCAGGGCAATGCTCAATGTCCTGTGCCTTCGGCAGAATCCCGCCCTCGACGAGCTGGACTAGGTGCTGGACGGCACAGGCTGCCAGGGTCGGCATCCCCGAATCGCTGCAGCGACCCCTACGTGGAGCATATCGGCTGGCTCGAGCCTCATACAATTGCCTCAACCAGACGTCAGTGATTGCATTATGGACCATTTGGGCCCCCAGCTACATCACGGTCATGCTAACGGCGGTACTCCTCCTCACCTTAATCCCCGCTCTGGCCCAGGACGAGAACAATGCCACCTATCACGACAGCAACCTCCAGTGCCCTAACATGTTGCTCCGGTTCTCTCTGAACTTGCTGTATCAGGGCGTTTGCAATGGCAGTCATGTGATCCAAAGGAACATGCATAGATGGCTCATCACTGAGTGGGCTCAAGTAGCATCGTCCAGGGTCCCCAGCAGCGGAAGACCATATATGGAGGACAACTCCGACGAGGAGCTGGTGGACCCTCTCATCTCCGATGGAGAGTCCGTTCACCCGGACCCTGACGAGCCCAGACGAGGACCGCCGCCTCCCATGCCGGTTTTCCCGCCACAGCGCACCGAGGCCATCCAAA